GGGAATGCAGTTTTTCAGGGAGCTGCTATTTCAGTCTAAGTATTGGCAATGCCCTAGGGATGAGCTTTTAACAGAGCTCTGGAGAGATTAGTTCTTTCCATCAACTGTGAGGCTCCTGGCTTTCATGGATACCATACCACTGAGGGGAGGGTGAGTGACAGGAGTAATTCTAAATCAAAATGCCATAGACCTTATTTTTTAATAGAAGTACTTCAGAAGGGTTTTTTTTTTTAACAGACACTTTTAGTTTGTTCTGTGCTTTTGCTTAATTTCTATTATTCTATATTGGTTGATTAAAAAAATTGTTTTCCAAGTATTTCTGTTGCATTTTGGGGGCAATGAGTTCATTCTACCATACCAAGAATTCAAAATCTCCATCCGTTAGGTTTTGGCATAATTTGTTACATAGCAATATATTAAAAATAAGCTACACAGAAGGGTTGTTTTTAGCATGAAGAAAGGTAATGCAGAGAAAGTTTTTAGTATGGTTTTTACCAAAGGTAAACATTGAACAAATGAGTACAGCTACTTATACTACCTTCAAAAAAGTAGTTGTGAGGAGTCACTCTATTAGGTCTTCAGCCACCTGTTTTCAGAATGGCCAATGCAGTAGACTGAAGGGCAACCTTCAGATCTTGGAAACAACCTTCTATCCTGTGAGAGCTTAGAAAAACATTTTTGTATTCTGGTCAGAATAAAAATCTATGCTAAATTTTACAACAATATAGTATTTTGGCTCTCTGCCTGTCCTCTGAAAGGTGATGCAATTAGCTGAAAGATCACCTAGAGCCAAAATGCTTCCATTAATTATTAACTTTTGTGGCCAGGTGTCTTGAAGTGTACATTTTTGGCCTCTGATTTAACTGCCTCTAAGATACTGGAAATTAGTAGGAAAAGAAAGAAACGGGCAGCTAAATAGCATAGCTAAGTTCCTTCTTTGCAAGTGATACACATAGATCTTCATATTAGCAGCAGTCTCTTTTTTCCTATGGGTCTTACCTTGTACTTCCCGAAGTTCTTGATTCTTAAGCTTGAGAAAAATCTTAAGGTTCTTTATGATTTTCAGAGCCACATCAGAATTCCCAGAAATTGAGTAAGGCACAATTGTTCGACCATATTGACTCAAGTCCATTTCTCTGGCGGGTGGCTCATAATTTAAGTTTAGAGTTGTGAGGAGGTAAGTAGTGACTAACAAAATTACTGCTGTCTGTGACAATGACAACTTCCAGTTGCGCCAACTAAATAGTGCTCTCTTTACAAACATGGAATGAAATTGCTGGCGGTAAAGTGGAAACTAAAATAAGGAGAGGAACATAGCATTAGAGTTGTTGGTGATGGAGGATATTCATATTGAAATCCAATGCTTCAACTTTTTATAGCAGAAGATATACACATCTTATACATATATGTCCTTGAATTTAACCCAAGAAAACAAGACAGTGTTAAAAATTTAACTTGTGTAAGACATCAAGAGAAAAGATTAAGATTTGGTTTCTTACCTAACTACATTTAAAGTATTATTGAGGTAATTTTATTCATTAATATACTTGCAGTATTTCTGATTAGAAATAAAATTACATTTATTTCAAAAGAAATAAATTTAATTATTGAGTTAATATTGTGAAAGAAAAATATTGCCTGCCATATCAGTAAACAAAGGAATGCTACAGCCACCAAGTCATCAGCCACTACCACCTCCTCGGCCGCCAGTGACTGGAGGGAACTCAGGGTGGAGACAAGCAGGGGGCCCTGCCTCTGCAGTCACCCACAGTGGTGCACCCTGAAAGAACCTACTTATAGGATGGGAAAGAACAGGACACTAGCCCTAGGTAGCTAAAGTGCATATCAAACAAATGATTTCAATGAGCCCAGACTTTTGTACCATCCCATACATAAAAAGAGCTAAGTTCATTAACTTGAGATATCTAGTTTTCTTTTCTTATTTTTTGGAGGGAGGAGGGGTAATTAGCTTTATTTGTTTCTTTATTTTTAGAGGAGGTACTGGGGATGGAACCGAGGACCTCGTGCATGCTAAGCATGTGCTCTACCACTTGAGCTATACCCTCCTCCCTGAGATACCTACTTTTCAGTAACAGTAATTTTTTGATGTTCCAACTACCTGGTCTTTGCTGCAAAAATTGCTATATATCCTGGCTCATCCCTTATCTCTTTGGAGCAATCTGAGTGGCTACCTACCAAGCTGGAGTTCTCAGAAAGTCCGCCAAATAAAACATACCTCTCAACTTTTAGATTGTGCATTTTTTTCAGTTGACAATGTTAATAATTTAGTATTAAACTTTAATATTTCCATTTCTCCATTTTAAGGGAAATAACCCCATAAAACTTGTATATAACTATTATCTTTGGCTAGATTTTAGTATACTAACTATGGTTCATAATGATAAAATGCTCCCAGTCTTCTAACAATTCTAACTCTAGGGTCTTAGAAATGAACAAAGGGAAAATTTATTAGAAAATAAAGGAGAACTTTTCAAAGTGATTCTGAGAAATAACAAAGATGAGAGTAGCATAGCTGTGATCTTTATGTAGAACCTATTCCCCTGCATCAGGGAATTAATGAGGTTGTAGTACAGACTGTTCCATATCTGCCTGGCTCTTCTAGGGACAAACTCCAAACATCTTTTAAGTTCAGATAGTTAAGAATGTGTACATCTTATACCCAAGCCAGACATACTAGGTTTACATTCTTAGGGAACATGCTCACCCCACTATTAAATTTAATGTTAGCAATTTCATTCAATCTGGAAAAAACTGGTCTC